TATTTTCTTATTAAAATAAGATTTGTGTTTAGAAAATATTAATTAAAAAAATGGCATCCATCATACATTTAAGAGAAATCTCCAGAAAAGTCTTAAAATTTTACCCTAATTTACGAAAAAGTCCTAAACTAAAATTTGTTTACGAAAAAGCATGAATTACCAGTAAAAATGGCGATTTGACCCATTTTTCTGGTTTACCGGTTTCATTACTTACCAGTTTCACTAAAGTCCCATTATTTTACCCTAATTTGCGAATAAGTCTCAAACAAAAATTTTGTGATGATTTGGCCATTTTCTTCATGTAACATAAATTTTATCGGTTTCATTGCTGACTTAGACACCTAATCATTAAATTAGCTGATAAGATGGATACGATGGGTTATATAATGCTACATTTACTGTAAAATTTGATATTTATCTCATCGGCTCATTTATGACTATGTATCTAGGTCAGCAATGAAACCAATAAAATGTGTGTTTCCAGGAAAAAAGGGCAGAAAATGAGTTGATGTCTCATGAGATGGATATATTAGGTTACATAAGATTAGATAGACAATTTGATATTTCTTATAAATGTAAAAAATAACGCAGCTGTTGCTAGTTTATGTAATTATTGCAGTCTTTGTTGGATGCATTCTATGTTCCAAAAGAATATACAATACATCAGGATATCAAGTTTTATGCTAAACATAACATTATATAACTCAACATATCCATCTCATCATCTCATTTAATGACTAGACGTCCGGGTCAGCAATGAAACCAGTAAAATATATGTTAAATAGAGAAGATGGTCAAATCATCACTAAATTTTAGTTTAGGACTTATTCGTAAATTAGGATAAAATAATTGGACTTTAATGATACTGGTAAGTAATGAAACCGGTAAACCGGGAAAAAGGGGTCAAATCACCATTTTTACCGGTAATTCATGCTTTTTCGTAAACAAAATTTAGTTTGAGACTTTTTCGTAAATTAGGGTAAAATTTTAAGACTTTTCTGAAAATTTTCCTACATTTAATCACTAATATTTCTTATATTCTCTATTTATTTAATGAATTTAATTTAGATTTGGTATAATTTATTTTATATTTATTTTTAATTATGTAAATCATATTATTAATTTATTATAGGGAAATCTAGAGAAAAGTCTCAAACTTTTGGGAAAAGTTTAAATAAAGACTTAAAGTTTTTTTTTTAACAGGAAAAGTCCCGATTATTTAACAATTTGCTCAAATTAACGAAAAAGACTTTTTTGATATTTGAACAGCAAATGACAGATTATATGATTTCTTAAAATAATGAGACTTTTTTGTTCAAAAAAAACTTTTAGGTATTTATTGAAACTTTTCCCAAAAGTTTGAAATTTTTCTCTAGATTTCCCTTTATTATATGTTATTAATTATTTATCTTCATATTTCTATTTTTAAAATTTGACGACTTATTCAAAGATTATTTAATGTTATTATTTATTTAGTTTTTGTTAATATTTTGTTCGTTATTTGTAACTTTTAAAGTTATAGCATATGATAGCTAAATGCTCCAATCCAAGAAAAAAAAATATCACCTCTTTAATTATTGTTTTCTCTTTGCCGTCAAAGAGGAGTGCATGATTACATGACATGAGAGTCAAAGATTAGATAAACATCTCTTATACCAACTCGGAGTGAAACCAATAAAAAAGCTAAAAAAAAATGTCACTTAAAAGGTAAAACAGTTATTGAATTTATTAGGAACGACGAATGTAAACAAATGAAGCTGTATAGACGAAAAAGTTAAAATTGATTTAAAGTATCAAAATGCATAAATTTGGATAAATGAACTATATGGATGCTTTTTATAGTTTACTATTTATTTATGTTTATTAGTCTTAAAACAAAAAAAATCATAGTTGTTTCAAAACATGAATAAACAATATTTCTTACGCTCATCACCGAGTGTAGTATTGTGTACAAAATAATCTATGACGTATAAATATACACTTAGGGGTTGCACATTGGCGAATAGAGTGTCATGCGTTTCATTTGCTATCATCTTAATTTAAAGAACAAAAAAGGTCATACAGATAACTAAATAATTATTTTGTTCCTTACTTCCTTCTTTAAAATAAACTAGGTGTGAAACCCCGCTCCGCGGGGTTCCGTTAAGACCAGGGTTTTACTTTTTTGTTTTTCGGTTATGTATGTAGTATATTGATAGGTAGTGTGTGGTTGGTGTTTGTGTTTGATAGTGTGTAGCAGCAAATAATATTTGTGTTTTATCGGATATTTTATTTTGTAATATGTATATATATGGTAAATTTAGAGGATAAAAATAATTGAATTGAAGGGATATGAGGGAATGATTAACAGGTGGTAATTGTAGCCGGCTTGGGCAAGTAAACACATTCATTGCGGTAAGTAAAACGTCATCTACGTCATCTGAAATGATGAGTGCATTAACTACGGGAAAGGAACCGTCATCAAGAATAAGACCGGTTCTATAAAACCCCTAAAGTGATTACCATTTTCGCACACATCACTTTTCGAAGGTGGGTCATACAAATCGACCAGGAAGAAGAATGAAGCCGCAAGAAACGGAAAGGATCATCAATGTTCTGATCAAGCAAGCAGAAGACGAAAGTGTTGCGCTGGCAAATGTTAACGATTTCTTTCTGAACCAACAAACAAAAGAGGAAATATAAGCAAAGATGAATCGGGGACCTACGTATCTTAACTACATGCGGATGGAAAAGCTCCTCATGAATAACACATGAAGCAGCAAAAGCAATCCAGACCATCTACAAGCTGAAGAGGGAAGCGGAGATGAGAATGGAGGAGCTGAAGAAAGAGTTGAAAAAGCTTCCAGAGGATGATCGATCTTATGTGGAATGAGGTGATAGTTTAACAGTGACGGTTGTTTTGCTTTTTTGTTTCACCATGGATATGGTCTTTTATGGTTATAAATGGTTATGGTGGAAAACCGTCTGTTTTCTTTTGGTTTGTTGGATATATGTAATAGGAAGCGAACCGTATGTATGTACTTTGTGGTATGTAATATAATGGTTTTCTGTTTTAGACAATGGAGCCGGAAATCGGCATTTTACATCTAACAACTATATGTTATTATATTCACTTCGTCTATTAGTACATATATAGATTAAGAAGTTAGGTGGATGGTAAACAATAAGGAATAGGTATGGATATTTCTATTGAACGTGCTTTCTTTTCCCCATGTTAAATTTTTTTCTGTATTAGATTTAGTATGAAAGAACCAGTAAGGTTGGTTCTATTGTATCTTTCATTGCAGTAGCTTCCTTCAATAGCAAGTAGTTTTAAAACTGCATAGAAAATGGAATTTATACTGTTAAAAAGTGAAAATAATAGATATACGTTTTATGTTAAAATAATAGGAACAATATTGCAGAGTCAGATTGGGCGGACTATAATCACCACTCATGTGTTTATTTGCAACATGGACGAAATGTATACAACTGTCAAAATAGGCATCATTATGGTAAATACGTAAAATTGAAAGCATTGTTGTCAATATGTCAAAAACAATGGTGTTTTGTTTGTTATCATAAGTATGGTACACATCTTACATGTATTTCCTGAGAGGAATTCGTAGAAAGTAGATATTTTAGGCAGGGGCAAAATAGTCATTCTAGTAGAACGTTATCTATATATTCAAACCATACATAAGCAGTGGGTTTCATAAAGGTTATATCATACAAGATTACATATTTCATATATTAGGACAGACTATTTGATCGTTAACATACAAAAGGAGACATAATGTTTATAAAACATGTGATACTAAGGATGGAAGGATAGGAGACATTTTTTAAAATGGGAAGTAGATGGCATGGCATCTATTTTTTCCGGCTACGCTTTGTGTCCATTGATGGTGTTGTGTCATCTGTATCCAACAGAAAGGAAATGTGAGAAAACATATAGGCATGAGTGATAGTAATAGCATGTATATGTATACCGGTGGTGTTGTACGATAGAGCGAGTGCAGCCCGTGTTACAGATATTGCAGGATCAGGTGTGTTTTGTTGCAATGTGGACCTTCTGACTGGGACCTGTGCTGGAGTTGTTGGAACGCCTGTTTGGGGCACAGTTTTGGAACCTTCTATGTCTACGATTATGAAGCGTCAATTGTCTGGAGCAGATGCTTTTAGGATTTGAATGGACATGTTTTTGGTCTCCCCTTTGTGTTGAGTGATAAAGGGTGGAAGGGTTTTCCTGTTGATACTGTTGTTGTTTGATATAAGATTTTCAAGGGTAGAGTTGAGCAGTTTCTGACATGAAGTATCGGATATGATTGCGGATATTGTGTCGTTTGTGTCGTTCTGTGTGAGAGTGAATTTATGTCTGTATCGACAATGACCTTGTTAGGATCTGATATAGGGCAGAAGTGTTTTCGGCATATGGAGAAATGTACTTACGAAAATGTTGGTTTTTCTATGACAGCATGTGCACTACAGTACCATTGTGGGCCTCGTTTGTAGATCGGATCTCTACAATTGGGACATGTCGCGTGATACCAATTGTCTTGAAACGGAATATCTATGATTGTTGCTTTGACCAAGAAAGTCTTATCCTGTAAAACAGATAGTTCCAATTTTAAGGAGTGGATTTTTGTGGTTATGATTCAATCCGATGATGTAAAAAGATATGATATAATATTATTGATAACTCTAATCGGGTTTTTGTTTTCATATCCTGCAGTGTAATTGGTATTCCAGATGGAATCGATACTGGTCTCAACGGGTCACTGAAACTGATATTAGATGCTAATTTGGTTAACGGTATTTTTATCGAACAAAACATGAAAGTTGTAGATGAGACATGTGACATACATATCAGTAATAGATGTTGTTTCTGGTATTTCTGGATTTACATATACGTGAGTGGCGTGTGATGATCCATGGCGTAACATCCCTAAAAATCAAAATGGGATTATATCGGTTAGTAGAGATTAATGTATGATGATGGTATTTTTTTTTTGTCAGTTTCAAGGCACAAGTGGACTACTAGCAGAAACAGAAGGTTTTAGATTTGTAACAGCAACAACCGTAATGGCGGGCAGTGGGATGAGTACATCACGGTTGAATTTTGTGGGACTGTAATGCATTCCATCCATAGGTTTATTGGAAGTTCGTTGCCACTAAACGTTTAATATGTGATGTTATTACTGAATGCAAGTGTAATAGATAAGGAATATATATTCTATCATATAAGGGTTACCCGCTGTCTGTTAGGATCAGAAAAACATATGGTTCTCCATTTTGTTTTGCACAGTGTTTGATTTTTGATAGAACAACAATAAAGTCTGAAGAAGAATAAATGTTATTGGCTGGGTAATCTGTCTGATATGGAATGAACCAGAGACGTGTATACCTGGGTAATAAGGTGTTTTTTCTCCCAGTTCTATAATATGTGATTTAGAAACAAACCGGAACCAGTTCCTTGGTATAGTCATCGTATCCGGAAGTGGCTTAATAATTGAGATGAGACCGACATCAATGTAGAAATCATTCTCTAAAACTTTTTGGTGCCTGTCAAGTTCTGGGCAGCTGTATTCTGAAATGGTGTAATAATCTGATACATTCAATATTGATTCAATATAAGCCTGATTGATCCGATGTCCAAGAATTTGTATGGCATCTCCGTATACAATAAGATAAATGTTAAACAATATCCATAGCATCTCATTTTTGTGTATATATTTTTCAGATACTCTTTTTTGCACACTTACAAATCTGTCAACAGCTAAGTACCATGTCTCGTACCGACGAACATCATGCCTCCAGTTGCGGATGATTCTGACTTGTAAAGGACTTCTAACGCCCTCACATTTCAGATCGGATATACTGCTCATGACTACTATGTGTTCACTGGTAAGAAGAGAAGAGTTCATTCAAGTAAGAAGGTTAGGTAATAGATATAATAAATATAGAAGGTTGTTTGGACAACAATTATAGTAATATAAATAACAATGATATGACTGTCATAAATCTGGTTGTTACGACTACTATAGACCTCTTTCTGGGTTACTTTCTGTAGTAGATCCCTGTAGACAATGTTTTTCGTCTCAGTGTATATGCCTTGGTCATTCGTTTGTATAAGAATTTTTATAGAACCCGGTGATGTTGCTCTAGAGAAGGCTACATATAACTGTCTGTGTGCAAATATTGGCTGCGATAGATAAACACCAAATTTTCTTAATGACTGTCCCTGACTTTTATTGATGATCATGGCATAACAGAGCTTTACTTGGAATTGTTTTCGTGAAAAACTGAAGGGCAAATCCGACGGGGTGTGTATGAATTTTATGCGAGGGATGTATACAAGATTTCCAATAGAAGTCCCCGTCATTATGGTTGCTTCAACTATGGTTGGGAGAAGCTGGGAAACAATCAACCGTGTACCATTACACAGTCCCTCTCTCTGATTAATGTTTCTTAAAAACATTATTGGTGTTTTTGGCTTCAAGTGAAGTGCATGAGGTGGGATTCCTGGAAACATTAGTTCATTTAAGTATTCTATAGGATACAGGCCTTCTAGATCAGATGTGTGTTTCCCATTTGGCTGCATTGAATCTGTGTTGTTATATACTCTACCAGAAGTTGTGATTGTTTTTAGGACCATGTTGTTTATGTTGTCGGCCACTTCATTTGTTGGACAAATGATTTCCCATCGTGAAAGATCTATGGTTGTTGGGTTGCTGAGTATGCAATCTCCATACACAAAGTGTATTAGATTTTATAACGAACTGGGTCCAGGTGGTATCAACAATGAATCCGGAATTTGAACCCAAGATCTGTCTTGCGGATCATCTATGTCAGGCCATCCAAGTACACCATCTCCGATGTTGAGCAACCAAGTGGCAAAATCTGCTATTGATAATGTGTGCATCTGATCATCTGTGTTAGAAAGCAAACACATATTTTCTGTCAGCACCCTAATTTGAAAGAAGGGCCATAGATATGACATTGGCAGCGTAAGGGCTATTATTTCGGAATGTGTGCCTTTTGGGACCACCGGAAGTGTTTGTCGGAAGTCACCACCAAGGAGGAGAGAAATACCACCAAATGGTTGTTCATTACACTCTAGTACATCCCATAGTGAATTGTTAAGAAATTCAAAACATCTTTTATCCGTCAAGTCAATTGGAATCTTAAATCTCGAATGGAATGTGCTTCGTCCCATACGATGAGTGATGTATGACGCATCAGATCACCTAAAAATGTTCTCTTTTTTATATCACAACATTTTTTATCCGTCAAGTCAATTGGAATCTTAAATCTCGAATGTGCTGTTGTTCCAGATGGAAGCAGCAATGATGCAATTCCAGATGCAACAACAGCTAGAACGACTTTCCCAACTGATCTAAAGTATGAAAGGATGGTATTCCATAGAAATGCTTTTCTGGTACCACCATGACCATAGACAAACATCAATATATGTTTCTTATTTTGAAGAGAGCCAACAACGGCTTCATAGATTGACATATGTTGTGCATTTAACTGTGGTAGAAGTTCATGAAGGTCTTGGTGCAGTTGTTCTCTATTGTAACTCATCTCTTCAAGTAAAAGCCGATTATGAATTACAGAAAGGATATCAGATGACAACGTTGGAAAATTGAAATCACTTAGTGATCTGGATGGGACAGAAGAACGAAGTGTATCCTCTAAGTTGTGAAGTAGCTGTTGTGTTATCAGATCATCTGTGAAAGAGAAACACTTATTTTGTTTTGTGTTTTTCATTGTATACAGATAATCATCACACATCGTCTCATGTGCCACTTCCCATAAGAGCCGTGGATTACCTACTTCACAAAAAAGCAGGAGGTGACAGAAAAGGGATCGCAACTATGCTGGTGTTTCCTAGAGTGAAGCTTCAGTGAATGCAGTCATCGACTCAATGTCATCTCCAATTATTCCTAACGTGTTACAAGCACTTCTATAGGTTGGATGAACAGAACCAGAAACGGTGTGCATATCTTCAAATGATGTGCATCCCTTCTGATGGAAAAGTAGCATTCGGAGATAGAATAACTCACCAGATGATGGATGTACAAAGACAAGCCGACTAACCATTTTAGATGGCTCATCAGCTCTACGTTCCCACGATTTAGAAGGAACATCCCATTTGTAATATTTGGATAGTCAACATATGTCAGATCATGACCAGATCGATCTATTGCATTCTTGTCAAACCACCCAAGAAGGGTTGTTTTAGAGGCGGATGGGTTGGACAGAACTCTTGTATTGTACTATCTTCTTTAAAGACAATATGCTGCGTGTTTTCTCCATGAACGGACAGGATCTGAACAGGTGGGTGTCGGTGATGTACGTGAAATTCAAAAATATGCCATGCAGCCTCATGTGGACATATGTATCTTCCATCTAAGAAAATTTTGAATTTCATTTATGCACGGAGAATCATTCCCTTTTGTACCCACTACATTATTTGTAACAACACTCGGGCCAGGTGTATCGTCTGTTTCACTTTTTTGGATTGCATATCTAACACGATCAGCCCCTTTCGAAATATATTTGAAGAGATATTTTATCATCATGTTCCAGCCGCAATATTCAACATTAATGTGCGCATGAAACCGAGAACATAACTTTTTGTTGTACGGTACAATATACCCATTGTCTATGACAATCCCACGTGGTGTTGTGTGTCGGGCAGCTGAAGAACGTTTGTAACGTACATAACCTTCAGCATCGAAAAACGTAGACTCAAGAAATGGCTTTGGAAAATGTTTGTTACATTTTCCATCCTTCATACATGGAGCTTTTCATTTAGTGGACCACATGGACCGTGAATCATGCATGCATCTATTGTTTGATACAATGCAAGTTCTGTAACCGGATCTAGCAATTCAGCAGTTATATACATATCTACATCGTCAGCATTCCTTATTTTGGATGCACTATTTACCCATAATAGTGTGTGTGACAATGTGGAAGCCCTCTCTTTTGAAACTCTATAGTATACAAATTTGTCATAAGAATCACACATGTCACATAAGTAAAGAACAACTATTTACTTTTATATGGATGATATATATGGAAAAATTATTATCTACCAAACAGGAAAGCTGTCAAAAAAAAAACCTAAAGCAATCTAATTCCATATCAACAATTGCAACAGTCTGAAATTACATATTTATGTAAACCATTTAACTATTGAAGAAAACAGCTACGAATTTGAGAAACCATTAAATTGAAAAACAATCACAATCTAAGAAGCCCGAAACAATGTAAAAACATGTAGACATAAGTAATCATAATATAGCAGTAGGGATAAATGGCATTTGTCTATGAAAAGAAAAGGTAAAAACACAAACTTATGAAGACTAAAGTAAAATAATTGACAACATATTTGAAACCAATCTGAAATTACATATTTATGTAACCATTTAACTCTAAGAAAGAAAACACCTACAAAATTGAGAAACCATTCAATCGAAAAACAATCACAATCTAAGAAGCCGGAAACAATGTGACAACATGTAGACATAACTAATCATAATATAACAGTAGGGATAGATGTCATTTGTCTTTGAAAAGAAAAGGTAAAAACACAAATTTATGATAACCAAAGTAAAAGAATTGACAACATATTTGAATCTGAAATAATCTAAATAGACAAAACATTTAAGGTAATAAATAAACGGAATAAAATACATGCATCAACATCACCAAAAGTTTTGTCTTGCTTCAAGAGTTAATAAACGCGTGGACCTTCATTTTAAAAACTCTGGCAATGATATATGCCCTACTATGTGGATCCTTCTATCGATGTGCATCCATATAACGTGTTATCTCTGCCACTTTACATTCAATGTGAATGTTATGAAATACTGTGGGTTACCATATACCTTACACATGGCTAGTGCACCTTGGTGAGGGCCTCCTGTAAAGAGGGCTGGTGAAAACTCGTTTGCCAACAGACCGCGCTTCTCTTTCCCCCTTCGAAAGCAATCATATAGACCACCAAATATTCGGAACGAAGGCTCTCCTGATGTTATCAATATATTCCAACCATCCCTCCTCAATACAAGTACGTCGACTAGATATTGTTGAAAAGCCGACATGCATTTAAAATTGGAGACCATATGTGTTCCCAAGCATGAATATGATACGCATAATACATGTTAACTGTAAGATTTCGAGCATCCGAACCAATCATTTCTCAATTTCAAACGTGGAGACCAACCGTCTTCACCATATGGAAACAAAATGGGATATTGCAGTGGCATATAAGGGATATAAGCTTACTAATATGCTATGGCCGACCGAATTAGAATGTACCACTATATCATACTTGTACAGTTACTGTCATCCCACTACCTATGCAGCCTAATGATCCAGGTGAAGGGAGATCATACCTACGATCTGGAACTTGTTAAACAAACGAACATAATAAGAAGTTATATTATGCTGTGTTCTACAACATCTTTTCACAGTTTTGAATGTTCGTACATACTCATTGTTCAGCCTGAAAAAGGAAACCAGAAACGTGACTATACCCTCATCCAAATTCCTTTTTGTTGGACTATTAAAAACTCTAAACCTGTTATCCACTTCATTTCTGTGTTAAATAAATAAAGGAAGAAACCGTGGACCTTTCTCAGGGTCGGGACAAAGGGAACCAATTTTGTGGCTGATCTGTCCAGAAATCTTAAACATATACGGGCCACGATTATCATTCACATCGTCATCAACATTTGCTCCAAAAGAGGTCATCGAGAACATACTGTTATAAGCTCTAATGTCCCGTAAAAGTTGTCGTACGAAAAAAGGGTGTGGAACTCAACAACCATTCTAGAAGGGTAAGGAAGGACAACCAAACATCCTTTGCAACAACGATGATATCTCGGATGTTGAGCAGTAGATAGCT